GGGATCTCAGAGGTTCCAAGTGCATGTTTAGAGGGAGCAAGAGGCCTGTGTGAGTACGATGTGGGATGCTAAATCCTTTGGGCCCATGTTGAATTTGAGTCCACTATGGAACATGTATGTGAAAGATGTAATTTAGTAGTTGATTTGAAGTAGGGCTAGTGAGACAGATGGAGAACCAATCACAGAAAGGTGATAGTTGAAGTCATGAGAGCAGATGGGAATATAAAGACTGGACATGGTGAGAACAGCAAGGCGCTGAGGTAGAGCTAAGGTTAGCAGGTAAGCTGAACATCTGTGGGCCTTTGTTTTTTTATTTATTTCCGTATTTATTTTTAGAGACAGGGTCTTGCTCTGTCGCCCAGGCTAGAATGCAGTGGCATAATCACAGCTCACTGCAGCCTTGAACTCCTGAGCTCAAGCAGTCCTCTCACCTCACCCTCCAAAGCACTTTTTCAAAGCTTTTTTAGAGATGAGGTCTTGCTGTGTTATCCAGGCTGGTCTTGAACTCCTGGCCTCAGGCAGCCCTCACACCTTGGCCTCCCAAAGTGCTGGATTACAGGCATGAGCCGCTGCACCTAGCCTGCGTACCTGTTGATCTGTGAACTATGCTCAGCACTAGGAATACAAATATTGCCCCCAAAGATTTCATTGCTAGTAAGAGAACCTCTGCATTTAAGGTGCATCTGGAGCAGACAGTCAGTGAGGGAGCCCAGGAAGTAAGTGGTAGGAGGAAGTGGTAGCAGGAAGCTAGGGAAATTGAATACAACACAGGTTGTAATCTCTTCAGACTCCGTGGGACCACGCTTGTGGATCTTTACAAAATGGCACTTTGCTCAGATGTATTTCTTTGCTTATTTTGATATCATTTGGTTAATATTGAAGGAGGGTTATACTTAAGTGTTACACAGTTGTCCCCACTCATCCTTGGAGGATACGTACCAAGATCCCCAGTGGCTGCCTGAAACTGTGGAGAGCACCAAACCCTGTATATACCGTACTTTTTCCTATACATACATACCTTGATGAAGCTTAATTTACGAATCAGGCACAGTAAGAGATTAACAGCATTTACAACAGTATGCCAGCATCAATACTCTTATGCTTTGGGGCATTATTAAGTAAAAATAAGGGTTACTTGTACAGAAGCACAACGATATCATAACAGTAGCTGTCTAATAAACCAGACAGCTACTAAGTGGATAATGGGCGTCTCTGCGTGCAGCATGAACATGCTGGACAAAGGGATATTTCACTTCCTGGTGAGGCGGAGCAGGACGGCAAGAGATTTCATCAAGCTGTATTAATCTGCTGGGGCTGCTATAATGAAATGTCATAGACTGGGTGACATAAACAAGAGAAATGTATTGTCTCATAGGTCTGGAGACTGGCAGCAGGCTTGGATTCCTCTCATGCTTCTCCCTTGGCTTGCAGATAACCACCTTCTCGCTGTGTCCACACAGGGCCCTCTCTGTATGCGTGCCCCTGGAGTCTCTCCCTCTTTTTAAAAGAACACCAGTCATACTGGATTAGGACCCCACTCTTACGATCTCATTTAACCTTAATTATGCCTTTAAAGGGCCTGTCCTAAATATAATCACATTCTAAGGAACTAGGGGTTTGGGCTTCAACATAGGAACTCTGGGGTACACGTTACCCTTCATGTAACAGGCATGATGAGAGCAATGTGCCGTGGTTGACTGCAGGTGACTGGCTCACCACCACACTCCTGTCACTGCCATCCTCCTCTTACCTCATTAAGAGACAGTGCTAGGGTTTACAGTGATGTCTGCTTACACAGTTCTTTTCTTTCTTTCTCTGTAAAGTGAGCAAATCTGTGTCTGCTGCCGAGCAACAATTGTGGAAAAAAAGCTTTTCTTGTTTTGAGAAGGGGATTCACAACTTTGAGTCAATTGAGGATGCTACAAATGCTGCCCTTTTATTATGTAACACTGGGAGACTCATGCGAATTTGTGCACAGGCACACTGTGGTGCAGGTGATGAATTTAAACGTGAATTTTCACCAGAAGAAGGCTTATATTATAATAAGGTAACACATCCGCTTGCATGTTGGGACTCACCCATTCATACCTGTCATTTATTTACACTTTGCCATTATTTCACTAAAATTTTACAAACCTAAAAATAATTAAAGTATGGTAATGGCACAAGACTAGACAGATCATGAAAACGCCTGGAACCTGGCCTAAGACTAATAAGAATTGAGTATTGAAGATGACATGTGGAATTGGTAGGAAAAAGATGATTCTGCAAATTGTTGGTATAAGCAGCTTGAATGTCAAATGGATTAAAGATTGACATGGAGAAAGCAAAACTATAAAAGTACTAGAAGAAAATACAGGTGGAGACTTACATGATAGGCTAAGGAAGGACTTTCCCAGCATTGCACAGTAAGCAAAAATCCTGGGTAAACGTTGAATAAACTCAAATGTGTAAAAGTTCTAAAATGCACAAATATTTAAAAAATAAAGATCTAAAAATATGCAACAGAAAGTGAAATTGAAAGCAAATTATAATCTAGGGAAAATACTTATTCATAATAACAGAAGAGAGGTTAATACACTCTTACCATATAAAAATTAAGAATCATTGAAATTAAACCACCCAAAGAGAAAAAAAGAGCAAATAACCTTGAGCAGAAAATGTACACTTTTTTTTTTAAAAAAAGTAAATGGCTAATATATATAAAAGAAAATTTTCAAAATTAAATTTTTTTTTTTTAGACAGAGTCTCACTCTGTTGCCCAGGCTGGAAGTACAGTGGCACAGTCTCAGCTCACTGCAACCTGGGTTCAAGCAATCCTCATGCCTCATCCTCCCGAGTAGCTGAGACCACAGGCATGCGCCACCACGCCTGGCTCATTTTGGTATTATAATGTTTTTAGTAGAAATGGGGTTTCGCCATGTTGGCCAGGCTGGTCTCAAACTCCTGGCCTCAAAATTGAGTTTTATTTATCAGATTGCCAAATTTTATGACAAATGATCACACCCACTGTTGGAGAAGGTACAAGGATATGAGCACTCATGTTTTGGAGTAACTGAAGCCATTTAAATGACATTAGTAGTGAAGAATGATTGTGGCATAATAAATTTTTAAATGAGTGTGATCTTTTTTTATTTTCTTTTTAAAATTTATATATACACAGAAGAGAGTTAATAAGTATACATCAGAAATATAGAAATTATTGCTGGGTACAAAAAAAAGAAAAACTATTGCTGGGTAGTTAAGTAAAGTATGGTTTTTGGTTTTGATTTCAATATAATGGCCATATATTTGAAGATTGGGGTAACAAGGTGGGAGGAAATACTTCTTTTTACAGTAAAATCTGTCAAGTTTTTAATCTAGTTTACTAGTATGTAAACTAATTTATATTTAGAAGGAAAAAACAAAAGGAAACAAGTGCATCCTCATGCTCAGCCTGACTCAGAAAGCAGCACCATGGACTGGCTTCTTGTAGCCTTGACGTGGGAATGCAGAGTGGTCTTCAGTCTACTTGGAATAACTTTCTTCACTGAAATATTTTCATTGACTTTTTAGGGAAGAAAAAGTAATTTCCTCATAATGATGTCCCTTTATAAATTATCCCAAAATTAAATTAACATCTGGGTAGTTACGAAGTATGTTTTATTTTAATGCAGTATTGGTGTATGTTTAAGCTGAGTTAGAAATGTACACTGTTTTCTCCCTTGCAGGCTATTGATTACTATTTGAAAGCACTAAGGTCGTTGGGAACACGAGACATACATCCAGCTGTTTGGGATTCGGTGAACTGGGAATTGTCCACTACTTACTTTACTATGGCAACTCTACAGCAAGATTATGCTCCATTATCTAGAAAAGCTCAGGAGCAGGTGATAATATTTGCTGGATTATAAAATAAGTTCTCAGTCTCATTTATTCCTTTAACAAATATTGAGTATCTCTTGTCTTTTCTTTAATAAGCAATATTTAAACGTTTTAACAACCCCTACAGTCAGATTCCAAACTTATTTTTTTTCTTGCCCTCAAAATAAACAGATTGAAAAAGAAGTCAGTGAGGCCATGATGAAGTCCCTGAAATACTGCGACGTGGATTCAGTGTCTGCTCGGCAGCCCCTTTGTCAGTATCGAGCTGCAACCATCCATCACAGGCTGGCCTCCATGTACCATAGCTGTCTGAGGAATCAGGTACTGTCAGGCCAAGTTAAGTACAGAGCCACGTTAGTTTAAAAGTGTTCTGGGCGCTTTGTTTGTTTTTAATTAGCTACTTTAGAAAAACGTGTAGTGTAGCTGTTTTTCCCTTTCACCTATGCCATAGATTTTCTTCTACTCTACTTGATTGGGTCTTAGTTAGCGAACTTACCGATTTGCCTAGGTGTGTTACTTAGTTTTTTTTAATGTAGGTAGGCTTTATAGTAATGGTTTGATGCCAGTTTTACAGCACTAGTCTCCCATCTTTTATTGTAAAATAGAGCATATATATGAAAGCATAGAAAATACATGTGGAACATACGTACAGTTTACAAAATAAACAAAGGAAAGCCCTGTGGCCCTTGTCTGGAGGTTAAGGAATGGAAGCGTCCTCTAGAGGGCCCCCGTGTGCCCCTCCCTGGTGTGTCTTCCTTGATGTTCATCCAGGTAAACTGCTGTCCTAAATTTTCTGCTGTGTTCCTGCCTTTTTTGTGCTGTGCCACTTAAATAATATGTCTACATTGTGCTCCGTGGTAAGCATGAGAAAATGAATCCTGCTGTTGGTGTTCTGTGGCCTACTGTCTTTCACTTAACATCATGTTTTTGAGATGCATCTGTGTTGGCAGGCACATGTACCTGTTCGTTTCCTCAGCTAAGTAGTCATTAAATGACTATATGGTAGTCTGTGATTACTGAATTTTTGGGTTATTCCAGTTTGATGCTATTAGAATCTAGTACCAACAGTATTGTACATGAATCCTTGTGCTCAAATGCCTGTATTTCTGAGAGTAATCTGAGGACTAGGATAAAGGAGCCTTCCTTTGGAGAGATTGCTTTGCTTCTGCTGGAGTCTTGGGCCTATAGTTTCTCAGTAGTGTTTTTTGTTTGTTTTGTTGCTTTTCCCCCTTGTAAGGTAAGACTACTTACCTGGCAGTCCATTTGGCATGAGTTTACTTCTGGGTGGCCCTTATCTTGAAAAGTGTCATCTTTTGAGTTTGAGATCCAGCTTAAACTGGAGGTTTTTTTTAGACTGGGTCTCACTCTGTTGCCCAGACTGGAGTGCAGTGGCACGGTCCTGGTTCACTGCAAACTCTGCCGCCCAGGCCTCCCCACTCTTTTGCATGTAGATATCTAGTTGCCCCAGTACCATTTTCTGAAAAGACTGCTCTTCCTCTACTGAATTGTCTTGGCCCCCTTAAACTTGCCTTTGCCTTTAGGATATTAGGCCATCTGGGAAAACCTGAATTTTGGTTGAGGACTTTAGAAGGCAAAGTGGAAAGAAATCTTCTCCAATTCATGCCTATAATCCCAGCACTTTGGGAGGCCGAGGCAGGCAGATCATTTGAGGTCAGGAGTTTGCGACCAGCCTGGCCAACATGGCAAAACCCCGTCTCTACTAAAAATACACAAATTAGCCAAGCAGTAGTGACGGGCACCTGTAATCCCAGCCACTCAGGAGGCTGAGGCAGGAAAATTGCTTGATCCAGGAGGCGGAGGCTGTAGTGAGCTGAGTTCATGCCACTGCACTCCAGCCTGGGCAACAGAGTGAGACTCCGTCTCAAAAAAAAAAAAAGAAAAGAAAAAAAGGAAATGGATTAAATACCTAAATATAAAAGCTAAAAACAACAAGACCTAATAAGACCCTCGGGGTGAAAAATAACTCAGAAGCACTTTGTGAAGCCTGAGGGAGTTACTGGGAATGATTTGTGTTTGAAGTTTGGGCTTTGATTTCAGGTTGGTGATGAACACCTCAGGAAGCAGCACCGGGTGCTGGCAGACCTTCATTATACCAAGGCCACAAAGCTGTTCCAGCTTCTGAAGGACGCCCCCTGTGAGCTGCTCAGAGTTCAGCTGGAGAGAGTAGCATTCGCAGAATTTCAGATGACCAGTGAGTCTTACTTTTCATTTCTTGAATATGCATGCATTGGCTTAGCATTTGATTGTCTTAGAGTGAGGCAGGTCTGTGAAGCTGAGTAATACTGCTTTCATTTTAATTTGCCCCATAGTTAATGACTTTGGGTAGGGAGTGGGAGGAATCTCTGTACTTTTTGAAGTGCTTTTTAAAACTAGAGAAATATTAGATTATGTTCAGTCACTAGAAATATTGAAATATGGCCCATGACCCCTTATTTGGAAAAAAATTTGACAAATCAATTTAAACAGTTAAAGATTTAAATTGGCCAGGCATGGTGGCTCACGCCTGTGATCCCAGCACTGTGGGAGGCTGAGGCAGGCGGATCACCTTAGGTCAGGAGTTGAGACCAACCTGGCTAACATAGTGAAATCCCATCTCTACTAAAAATACAAAAATTGGCCAGAAGTGGTGGTGCAGGCCTGTAGTCCCAGCTACTGAGGAGGCTGAGGCAGGAGAATCGCTTGAACCCAGGAGGTAGAGGTTGCAGTGAGCCAAGATCATGCCACTGCACTCCGGCCTGGGCAACAGCTCGAGACTGTGTCGTAAAACAAAACAAAACAAAACAAAAAAACACAAAGATTTAAATCACGATGAAAAATTTGAGAATGGAATTGAGAGGCAACAGTAAAGGAGTAGTGGGCCTTGTTGAACCCTTTAAACATAGAACTGACACTTGGATTGTGGTTCCAGAATAGACACTACGGTAGAGCCTGACCAAGGTAAAGACAAGTCGGGAGACAGAAGGGTGAACCTGAGAATGCTTTCTTAGGTTATTTTCCATGGCAGGGAGTAGGCAGATACTTCAACCACTTAATTCTGTTTCCTAAGTTCTCCCCCTCTCTCTTGCTCACCTGTTCTCTTCTCCTGCAGAGGAGTCTTTTGAGAAGTATTTCTTGTGTGGTAAAGAAACAAGAAACCACTATTTGAAGTGCAGCAGTTCATTTAGTTTTTAGTCTTCTGTAAAACAAGGTTAATTTACGTCTGTATGACTTAGTTTACATAGGTATGCAGTAGCCCTGGAAGGTGCCTAAGAAACTGGTAACATTGTTCCCTTTGGGGAGGAAACCTGGAAGGCCAGGAGGAGGGGCTTCACTGCATACCCATTTGGACCTTGTAAATTTTGGGAATGTATTACCTATCTAAAACAGTTTCTAAAAATAGTTTTTACTAAAATTAACTTTTTGCTGGCATATAATGCATGACGAGGTGTGTGGGACAGTCACCAGGATTAACGGTAGCTCTTTATGGGGGAAGGTTTGGGGAGAGTGATCTTCACTTTTCATTTGCACCTTTGAATATTCTGCCGGGTTTGAATTCTGTAGAATGAGCAACCGTCTTTTTTTTTGTTGTTGAGTTTTTGTTTGTTTGTTTGTTTGTTTTGAGACAGACTCTCTCTGTCACCTAGTGGAGAGCAGTGGCATGGTCACGGCCCACTGCAGCCTTCACTTTCTGGGCTCTAGTGATCCTCAGCTAGTTTTTTAAAAAATGTTTTTTAGAGACAGGGTCTCACCATGTTATAAGCCCAGGCTGGTCTCAAACTCCTGCGCTCAAGCAGTCCTCCTGCCTGAGCCTCCCGAAGTACTAGAAGATAATGAGAACAAATTTGCTAAGATGATAAGTGTCCCTCCTTTAAATGTTTTACTACTGTGAGTACTTTAGAAAATAATGTAAATATTTGGGGAGATGTTGTTAGCCAGATTTGTGAGTTTTGTAAGCCAAGTTAATAAATGCCCTAGATTGTGATACTATCTTATTTTACCCAGTGTTTTTTTTCTAGTACATATGATTCAGATCTCCCTTCCTAATGTCTATATTGCCTGTCCCTGCCCCAACATCACTTCCATACATAATCAATAGCTTGCCTTCCAGATGCCACATCTATGCTGAAATCACATTTATCTGTTGATTTGAAAGATAATAGATTATTTAGAAAGTGTGGGATTATGGGTCAGCGCATCAGCTCATGCCTGTAATCCCAGCACTTTGGGAGGTCGAGGTGGGTGGATCACAAGGTCAGGAGATCAAGACCATCCCAGCCAACATGATAAAATCACGTCTTTAGTAAAAATACAAAAATTAGCTAGGCATGGTGGTACTCACCTGTAAGTCCCAGCTACTCGAGAGGCTGAGGCAGGATAATCGCTTGAACCCAGGAGGCGGAGGTCGCAGTGAGCTAAGATCATGCCACTACACTCCAGTCTGGGCAACAGAGTGAGAATACACCGCAAAAAAAAAAAAAAAAGTGTGGGATTATGCTTTAAAGGAAGAAGGCAACAGTTATTCTCTCCCCACCTGTAGAGTTGGGGAGTCCCCAGATCACTTTCACTTCTCACACTAATTCCAAGTTTGTTGGGGGCCTCTAAGACCATTCTTAGGTTTGATAATTTGCTAGAAGGACTTACAGAACTCACTGAAAACTGTTCTGTTTACAGTTACAATTTCTTTTTACATTAAAATCAGCCAAGGGAAGAAGCTCAGGAGGCAGAGTCCTGGAGAGTTCTAAGCGCGAAGCTCCTAGTTCCTCTCCTGCTGCAGTTACAGATAGTGCTAATTCTGGCTAATTTATACACTTGGTGAGTACTGGCAGTGATGCATGCCAGTACTCACCAAGTGTATAAATCGATACAGGTACCACTGCGGAGGCTCACCCAAGCCTTGGTATAGAGTTTTTATTGGAACTTGGTCACATAGACATGGTTGACTGCCATGTGGCTGATCTTTGTCTCCAGTTCCTCTAGAAGTCGAGCTGTTACCATGGGGCCCAAAGCCCCCACAGTGAATCCCATCGTTAAGCTATCCCTTGTGGCACAAGGCCCCCAGGTAAACAAAGGCATTCTTACTAGGCAGGACATTTCAAGGACTTAGAGATTACCTTCTGGGAGCCAAGGACAAAGACCAGACCTCTGTACAAGATGAATCCTACTGCACACAGTTGAGTTCTAGGAGAATGGGAGCAAAGGTGTGTTGTTGTATCTGATAGCTGTAGAAAAATGTTATTTAGAAGGCTCGAGAATAAAACAAAACCTTGTTCATCTGGTCTGACTTGCTGCCTTTGAACAGAAATGTAATAAACTATTACAGGTAGGACAACTGATACTCAGTGCTTAAGTGACTTGACCATATAACTGGTAAACTGTGGGGTGGCCATCAAGCACCAGACTCCTTTCCGCTGGTCCCTTTTCCTCAGGCTCCTGTTCTGAAAACGTGGTGTCATCCTGTCAAATCACATGGTGAGGCAGGGAAACAATTATTATTTATTGCTTCGTCCAGACTTAGCATTTTTCTCAAGGGAATATTATTAAACAGAAGTTGGATTTAGAAGATTTAAGATTCTCATTAGCTTCCTTTATAGTGGTTTGAAAGTCTGAATTTTCATTAATACATTAACATTAGATGGGTTTCTAGATTTATTTTTAAAGGAATTAACATTTTGTATTTTACACTTTAGGCCAGAATAGCAATGTTGGAAAGTTGAAAACACTGTCTGGGGCACTTGATATAATGGTGAGAACTGAGCATGCATTCCAGCTTATCCAGAAGGAGCTTGTAGAAGAATTTGGCCAGGTAAATGGAGAAAATGACGGTGTTTGGTTTTTGTGTGTCTTAAGCTACATGGTAAATGTATATAGTGGGCATATGAGATGTGTGTGTTTGTATGTTTTATGTGTGTGTATATGTACACATACATTTGTATGCTATGCCCTAAAACACTTTAACAATGATTTGTTATATTTGCCTGGTAGAATTATATATCTCCCTTCTTTAATTTGTAAGTATTTTAAAATATTTTTAAATAATATATCTCAACAAGACCATAGTTAGCAAATTATAAAGTCTCTTAAGTTTTTTGTTGGTGGTGGTGGGAATCTGTTTTATGTTTTAAAAGTAAAGGCCTGTGCCCTATTTTGTAGTTGCCACTAAAATGCCTGAGAGCAGTTGAATGGTGAATGGGTCTTAGCAGGCTTCTCAGGAAGGAATTTCTAGTTTTCTGGGCATTCCAGCATTCATGTTACCTTCTGCTGTTGCTAAAAGCTTCCCGAAGCCCCTATGGTACACCCAACCATTGCTCTCCTAGCCCTGATTGGTCAAATCCTATGTGGTCCCGTACATTTCCGGGCTGTGTCTAATGTTGGAAAGTCAGGATTATTTTCTTCTACATAAGTGCCTATTTGGGCTGAGACATATTAATTATGTGTTTTAGTCTGTCAAAATGATTGCAGGTGTGCTTTTTGTTTGTTTTGTTTGGGGTTAAAAAATTTATTGGATTAATGAAACTGCAGTTCTATCACTTGATACGGTATGAAACTACAGTTGTTGGGTAGCTCAAGTAAAATAACTTTTTGTTGTTTTTAGCCTAAGAGTGGTGATGCTGCTCCAGCTGCTGATGCTTCTCCTAGTCTCAATCGAGAAGAAGTGATGAAACTCCTCAGTATATTTGAGTCTCGATTGTCATTTCTTCTCCTTCAGTCCATTAAACTGCTATCTTCAACTAAAAAGAAAACAAGGTAAATTAAGTGGTTATTTGTAGGAATTTCTTTCCCAGCACCCTACCTATAAAAATATTCTCTACTAACATTGTAAAGAAAAAATAGGGGCTGGGCACATTGGCTCACGCCTATATACCCAGCTTTGGGAGGCTGAGGCAGGCAGATCACTTGAGGTCAGGAGCTTGAGACCAGCCTGATGAACATGGTGAAACCCCATCTCTACTAAAAATACAAAAATTAGCCAGTGTGGTGGCATGCACCTGTTAATCCTAGCTACTGGGAAGGCTGAGGCATGAGAATCGCTTGAACCCGGGAAGTAGAGGTTGCAGTGAGCTGAGATCATACCACTGCACTCCAGCCTGGGCAACAGAGCAAGATTCTGTCTCAAAAAAAAAAAAGTGAAAAGAAAAAATAGGTTGTATTCTCTCTTGTCTTCTATGTGGATAGTTCAGAATTTTAAATGGTGTTCCTTCTCGACTTGTTAAACTAGGTAAGAACCCTCTCCACGAAGCCCTCTATGTGCTGAAATTACAGAAACAAAAAACTCTTGCTGCCTAATGGCAAATAGTCTATTGTTAATATCTTCCCTGAGGGAGATGAATGACCCTGGAATGAAGATCTGTATTTCTAGTGACACTTCTGGATGTCGTCATTAATGGAGAGTCTGGGCTTGAGTTTTGATGCTCAGGGCCAAGTGCACTACAGAGCAGAGGACAGAACATGGAAGCAGGAGGGAAGAGTGCGCCTCTCTGCAGAAATGTCCTTATGGCCCTGTGTCATCATGTTACACTTAGATTGTTTTGCCAAAGTTGTTATTTTGGCATTATTGATTTAATTTGAAATTACAGTAGTAAGTACTAGATCAGGAAAGTATACGATATGCCTCCCTTTTCTTAAATATAAGTGCAATCTGGCCATATTACAAAATTTGGAAAATAGAGAAAAGAAAATCATTTATTCTAATATATTCATTGTTACCAGTTATCTTATGTATATTTTACCAATTTAGAATCTTAGAGTACAGATCTTTTTTTTTTATCATTTTTTTTTATGTTATATACAGTAAAATGGACTCCACTCCTTGTGGTATATACTTCTTCAGTATACACCTTGACAAATGCATACAGATGTCTGCCTGCCACCACAGTTATGACAGAAAACAGTTCCATCACTCCAAAAATTCCCTCCTGCTGTCCCCTTTGTAGTCAACCCTGCCCCTGCCTCCAATTCCTCAGGATCTCAGGGAGAAAGTTTTCAGTCTTTTACCATTAAGCCTCATATCAGCTGTGGGGCTTTGTAGAGGTCTTTACCAAGTTGAGGATATTTTCTTCTATTCTGAATTTGCTAAGAGGTTTCTTTTATCATGAATGGATATTGAATTTTTGTTGAACGCTTTTACTGCATCTATTGAGATGGCCATATGGTTTCCCTTCTTTAGTCTGTTAATATAGTGATTACATTGACTCTTCAAATGTTAAACCAACTTTGCATTCCTGGGATAAACCCCAGTTTGTTGTGATGTAGTATTCTTTTTATGTATTACTGGATTCACTTTGCTGATACTGGGTATTACTGGATTTCATTTTGCATGTTGATGATTTTTGTGTCTATGCACAGGGGATAGTGGTCTTAGCTCACTTTTCTTATAAGAGGTTTGTCTGGTTTGGGTATTAGAACAGTGCTGGCCTCCTAAAGTTTGTGGGCTCATGCTCCCTCTTCTATTTTCTGAAAGAGATTGTATAGATCAGGACCATGTCTTCATTAAACATTTAGTAGAATTTACTAGTAAAAGCATCTTAACCTGGAGTTTACTTTATTGGAAGTTTTTAAACAATGAGTTCAATTTCTTTTCATGGATACAGTATTACTCAGGTTGTCTTTTTCTTAAATAAATGAGGGTCCATGATTTAAATTGTCAAACGTATACATTCACAGTATCACTTATTATCCTTTGAATGTCTAAGGGGGTTTGTGATGAAAGCCCTTCTTTTAGTCCTGATATTGGTAATCCTTCTTTCTGTTTTTCTTGGTCATTCTAGCTAGAAGTTTATCGATTTTTTTTTTTCAATCTTTTCAAAGAACCAACTTTTGGCTTGACTGATTGTTTCTTTTTTAATGTCATCAATTTCTGCTCTTCATTTCCTTCCTTCCACTTGTTTTGGACTTAATTTGCTCTTTTTCTGGTTTCTTAAGGTGGAAGCCTCGATTACTGATTTGAGACCTTTTTTCCTTTTTAACGTAAGATTTGCTGCTAAAAATTTTCTACTAAAACACTGCTTTTGCTACATCTCATCTATGTTTGTATATTTTCTTTTTCATTTGATTCAAAATATTATCTGAGACTTCTCCTTTGACCAATTTATTAGAATTGTGCTATTTAGATTCTAAGTATTGGGACTTGTTAGTAGTACCTTTCTGATAGTGCTTGCTAGTTTACTTTTGTTATGTGCTGAGACCATAACTGTGTATGATCTCTTCTTGCACATTTGCATACATTTGTTTTGTGGCACAGAATACAGTTTGTCTTGGCACATGTTCCATGTGTACTTGAAAAATCTGAGTGTCCTGCTGTTTGGGGTAGAGTGTTGTGTAAATGTCAGTTAGGTTGAGTGTGTTCATAATATTGTTCAGGTCTTCTGTATCCTCACTGGCCTTCTGTCTACTTCTATCAGTTTACCCAGTGAGGAGTGTTGAAGTCTCCAACTGCACTTGTGGATTTATCTTTTTCTCCTCTCAGCACTGTCAGTTTTGTTTCGTGTGCTTTTGAAGCTCTATTAAGTACACACACTTGGGATTGTGATATCTGGGAGAACTGACCTCCTTATTACTACAAATGTCCCTCTTTGATAATATAGCTACTCAACTTTCTTTTGGTTAATGTCTTTTTCCGTGTATCTCTTTTATATTAAAATTGGGTTTCCTATAGGTGGCAATAGTTATTTTTTATTTACTTATGTTCATGTTAAGTGTTTTTGAGACAAGGTCTCACTCTGTCACTCAGGCTGGAGTGCAGTAGTGTGATCATGGCTCACTGCAGCCTCAGCCTCCTGGGCTCAAGCAACCTCCCACCTCAGCCTCTTGGAGTAGCTAGGACCACAGATGTGCATCACCATGCCCAGGTAATTTTTAAATTTTTTTGTAAAGATGGGGTCTCGCTATGTTGCGCAGGCTGGTCTCAAATACCTGGGTCAAGCAGTCCACCTTTCTCAGCCTCCCAAAGTGCTGGGATTATAAGTATGAGCCACTACCTGGCCCAACGGTCGTGCTTTTTAAATACAGTCTTATAATTGATGTCTCTAGACCATTCACATTTAATATGATTCTTTTTCTGCCTTCTCTTAAGTTAATTGAATATTTTCTGTGATTCCATTTTATTTCACTATAGATTTATTATCTGCCACTTTTTAATTATTTTGGCAGTTGACCTAGGATTTTGCAATATACATCATTAATCTTTAATGAGAGGCCACCTTCAAATAATAAGATAATGCTTTACATGCACTATAAAGACCTTATCGTTCCCAATTCCTTTCTCCCATCTTTTGTACTGTTATTATATATTTTACTTTTACATCTGCTATAAACACATAATACACTGCTACTATTTTCTGCCTTATACAGTTACCTTTAAGAGCAATTAAAGAGAACAAGAAATTTTATCTTCGTTTATTCCATTTAAGTACTTTTAACCTTTTGTATAGGTTTCTGTCTAGTGTCATATTCCTTCTGCCTGAAAAACTTCTTTTAGCATTTAGCATTGCTAGGTTTGCTGGCAATGAATTTTATCTTTACGATTGAGAGAGTTTTTATTCCTTTTTCAGTCTTGGAAGATCTTTTTGCAGAATTCCAGGTTAACAGTCCTTTTCTTAAAGTACTTTAAAGATGTCACTCCATTGTCTTCTGGCCTGCATGTTTTCTGACCAGAAGCCTGCTGTGTTTCCTACTTTTGTTCATCTGTTAGAAATGTGTCTTCCTTGCCTATAGGCGCCCCACTCCCCAGCAGTTTGACCATGATACGCTTGGGTATGTTATGATGGCTTTTACCCCTGGCTTCAGCATTTTTCTTTCTTCTATTCCATTCTCTCTCCTTCTCTACAGCCCCAGTTATACCTATGTTAGACTGTTTGATGTTGTTCCACAGCCCTTGGATATTCTGTTCTGGTTTTTTGATGCCCTTTTTTCTTTTTATGATTTTGTTTGGATAATTTCTATTGAACTGTCTTCAAGTTCACTGATTCCTTACTTGGTTTTGTGTCATCTGCAGTTGAACTTTTTGAAGGCATTCTCTGTCTCTGTAACAATGTTCCTCATTTCTAGCATTTCTCCTGGGTTTGTTCTTAGTTTCAACTCTCTGCTGAAATTACCAATCTGATCTTGCATGGTATCCACCTTTTCCATTAGTGCCTTTAACATATTAATTATAGTCCTTTTAAATTCCCTATAAGATAGTTCCAACATCTGTGTCATAATTAGCTGATTCTGTTGATTCTTTGTCTCTTGGATGTATGTTGTTTTTTTCCTTGTCTTCCATATATCTCTTGTTTGTTGAAAACTGGATACCTTATATATGATAGTAGAGACCAAGGAAAATATTTTTTTTTTTTTTGCCCAGAATTTTTTGTACTTTTCCCTACTAGAGCTTTAGTGTGGGGAGTGGAATTCATTTTTCTAGCTTGGAGTTGATGGTTACCTTCCATGTACCACAGGCTTCAAGTTTTCCTGCAGTCCTTGTGTGTAGGGTGGAGCAGGTCTGCAGAAGGTGATTCTTAATGTCTTCTCTACCTTCAGCTCTAGATCTTTCCTTTGTTTCGCACCTTAGGGAGGGTCTGTCTTTACATTCTCATAGTTCTTCCAACCATATTCCACTATCACTTGTCCTTCGGTACTTTTTAGCCTGTTGGGGAGGGAGCAGGGAGTTAGCAAGGACTCCACAGTTGTTTAAGTAAGCCTCAGTCTAGGCAGACACTCATGTTCCTGAGTCTCAGGACAGTGGCCCTCCCAC